TTTGGAATTATTCAGCTCATCACCTGGCGTAATAAGAACTCGCGCACTTCTGCATTCTTAGTCGATTGAACAAGTTGAAGTATCAGTGTTTAAGGCAATGGATAGAGTTTGTGGTTCTTGATAGGCTGCGGACTGAAGGAACAAATCTCAAGCTGCTATCGATTCAGTAAGTAGAAACCTCGCGAGAAGTTTAGCTCTTCCACTATGAAGTCCCGTTCACTGAGTGAAACATTTAGGTCTGGCTCTAATTCTTGTCGCTGATACGTGTTCTCGCAGTCGAATCTGAGATAGTTATTCGGCACACAACTGTCATCTCTGGGCAATAGCTCCTAACCGTTCCTGTGGTGTTAATGATCTCCTAAAATCTCATCAAGTTGCTGCGGAGGACTGCGAACGACCTGCATACGCATCTAGTGGCGTAAGCAGGCCTTTTAACTGATATAGGGGCTGTATATGACTGCGTTAATGAATATAATTCTTACATCTAACCTTGTGCCTCACTGTGGACACCGCCAGCAGGTGCCTGTGATTAACGCTGTCATAAATTAGTGTTTTTTTTGCGAGTATGAAAATACATACAAGTTGCATTCAGCATGTACTTCAGGTAGTTCTACCCGTGTTTACTTTTCAACTATAATAGTAATTCTAAAACTATAAAGAGTGGTTTAGCAGACACCAATAATTCATTTGACTCAGTTACGGAACAAATCGGCCACCTCGGTGGGATTTGAACCCACGCCAACAAAATGAGTCCATTTTTAGTCTTAGGAGGCATTCAAAATGTATATAATATGCACCTTAGGGCAAAAGTAGTTTATGTAGTTTACCTTATACGCTCCCAGCATTTTGTCAGACGGAAACGGTGCTTCTAGGTTTTTTTGGGGTGGGGAAATAGGATAGGCAGGGAAGGAATTTTTTAGAGGTGAGTGTAAAGGGAAAAAATGTAGTCGAATTTGTTTCACGCGGCCACTGGGAGTAAGTTGTTCCGCATGTAAATTCAATGTGTGCGCGGCGCTTTGCGCCGCGGTCTTTATTAATCTAAGTTAAGAACTTTAATTTGTACCTCAGGTTAGTTGAATAAGATGACCTCCTAACCACCATTTCTATTTTTCAGGAATTTCAAGAAACCTGCAAGTTGATAATCGGCTTTTTGTGCAATACGTTAAACAATAATACAGATAAGAAAAGCTACAGATATAAACTAACAACATTTATAAATTCAACAAAATAAAAATGCACATAGTAGTTATTAAAGTAAATTCTACTGCCTTTCCTAATTTCCCACCCATAGAACCCTCTAACCACCGTTTTTGTTGGACAAAG